TAATCGAATATTCGGAACCCCAGGTATCTTTGCGTTCAACAGGATTCACGGGTGGAACATTATTCCAACCTCGTGAGGTGCTGCCTGGTCGCTGGATTTGTGGACTTTGGATAAGTTTGCGCGCCTCGTTTTCCGTCGGTTCCGATCTCCTGTGTCCGGAGCGTAGATCTACACTGGATGGTTGCATATTGACTCGACTTCCACCGGTTACGAAATCCGATCCCCTCGAGCGTCTATCTTGCAAACTGATCACACTGTTCGTGATTTTTGCACCAAGATGCGGACTGTTCGAACGAAGATTTCGGAATTGTTGAAATGTGGAACTATCCAAATCACTGGTACTATTAAACCGTTCCAAATCGTCAACCGAACTACTGGTATCTTTTTTCCGGTTGCGGTGGAGCCGCAAACGATGCCCGGACTTCTCGTTACTGCCACTGAACGATTTCTTTCGTTTTCTCTCCGTTCCCGGATTCATTGGCTCGTTCATCATTTCCATATCTCCTTTGACTTGACAAGCGATGGTGTCACGAATCTCGTTCAGCCACGAGGTCTTCTCCGTCTCGGATACCGCGCTCATCACGTACATCCCATCTGGAACTATCTGAACAGAATGAAAAATCGAATAGACCGGACAAGCAAAACGTGTTACTGAATGGAATCGATATGCAAATAAGCTTGCTCACACTTCAGGCAGCAATCACTACGGGAGGAATTACAAAAAACAAATAATTCACTGATGCGCAAATTCCACCAAAAACTTAGTGTTTCACTTGAGTAATCATACTGTGTGGTTCTGGTTATGCTAAACGTTTACACGTTTCAATCGTTTCACAGAAAACATTGAGAAAAATAACGCGGCGAACAAGCTTGTTTTCAGTTATTCGTAATCATGCCATTACATAACATTAAATATGATTAACAACAAGAAAAAAAAAATCAAGGAATACGAGAATCGAGTCCTAATGGTTCAGCTATGGCTGTAATGATGCGTGCATGTGTGTTTGTGTGAAATGGATCACAGCGTCAAATTTCAAGTGCTTGCAACACGTGCTGAGGTGGATGAATTGGGCCACGGGAGATTGAGTGCTTGCGAGCAATTCTTCTGGGCACACCAGTCGGGGTTTACATATACGGCAAACAATATATTCACGATGGGTACGGGACACTTAGGAAAGAATCTTTACCTGGTAACCAAATCATCCAGAATCATTGCCGCATCTTGAACAGCGAATGAGTGTCAGGTAAAAATAGGTTATATTTCACCTACTATTCGAGTATTTTGTCAAATTCAATTTTAAAATTATTTCTACCTCCTTTATGCACAATTTCAACCCAGATTGTTTACCCTGAGACGCTGACAACTAATTGACTAATTCTGTAAAATTTTGGCATTTTCGTATGAATTTCAAGGTCTCTGTGTCCAGAAACCGGAACACGTGTGAGCAGAGGACGCTGTAAATCTGATTTAATTCTAGTGCGCCTCAGTATGGTCTGGGGTAGGTGTCTAGGGTTGCGCCTGGTCACCCGTCCCTTGAACCTCACAAAATGCTCCCATACAACCAAGAGTTTTATATAGCCTCTGCTGAGGAAACCCTACTCACTGCCTTCTCGTGGAGAGGACGAAAAGCTGGCATCCGGGGCTACAACCAGGTTGTTGGACCACTGGTATTTCACCTAGGGGAGTTAGCCAAAAACCCTGATTCAAAACCAACCATGAGGAGGCGTACGAACCACACATACCTTCCCGAATGTGGCAGTGGTCCCCGGCTGGATTGGGTATCAAGGTGTATTGGCACCTTCGACGTCTGACCGCGTCCAAAGAGCGTATGATCCGAAGAACTGGACACCGGCCCCCACTGGATTACGGTTTTCAAACACCGTCCAGCTGCCTTACGGATCAGGCTTGGGCTAACCGAGAGCTCCGGTTGTGGATGCCTCACGAAAAATTTCACATGCAAACCATGAAACGTTTTTCTTCTGTATAAGGATTTGTCTGGTTTCAGATATGTGATATATGGATATATATATATTCACTGCTTGCCACCTATTTTCACACTATCGTAGTTGGGAGAGGGCTACTGGTTTCTGTTTCGTGCATTCCGTGCTGCGAGCGTTTTTGGTGCTTCCTAAAGTTTGAACACACGTCGTATGTGTGCATGTCCTCTCCCACCCCCACTCTGTAATATCGTCGGCGTCATCTGTGAGCATCCAATCAGTTTTCTTGTCTACCAATTTTTTGAGTGTCATTTATTTTGTGTTGTTGCGTGTGTGTCCTACGTCGATATCGTATTTTATGTTCTTCTGTTGTGCGTGTGAGGCGTGAGTGATATTGTGCGATACAACAATGAGAGATACTGTTCAGGGTAAAATGTCTTACTCCAAAATTTACCAATCTTTTGAGTTGGAAACGATAGTACCTCTCAAAATATGATAGATCATATGAGAACATCACCACTACCCCGAAGTCCAAGGTAGCGACCAATTCGTATACCTTGTTTAGTTTGTTATCCGCAATTCACTCCAAAAATCATCACCACACCAACAATGATCACGTTGTGACAGTTTGCAATAATCGGATACTACTGAGGAACATTCCTCCTCATTCACCACCACCATCACCACCACCACCGCAACCACAACCATCACCATCATCATCATCATTGTCAACACCACCGGTTTGCAAAGATTTACCCAAAAATCGTACGTCGTTCAGGTGATGTTCTCTGTGAGTTTCGTGATGGGTGATAGCTGTCCTTGTACAATAAACTGTGATCACTAGTTTTACTGAGTCCTCCACTAGATCGAAGTGCAAGTTAGTCTCCTCCCGGAAAACTGTCCATGAAGTATAAGCGTCTACGCTATCCTGCACAACAGCTTACCAATTCTTTGGCTGATGGCTGGTGCAAGTGGGAATATAGTTTGCTTACACCGTTTCGTGTTAGCACTGCAGTTACTCTGATTCATCACTCATAATTTGTTGTTGATAATTTGTATAACGTGCACATTTATGGTACAGATCAACACATGAATTAAACTTGTGCTGAAAATCACTGCTTTGGAATAAATTGAGCCAGTTTTTATTTGAATGGAGAGCAATAACCATTTTCAATTCAGTCATTTCTTCCCCATTTTATCCGATTGAATCAAAGCCAAATTTGGAAGAAGCTTCAAAATAACAAATGGATCACGGCAAGTGAATAGAGATCTGTACGAAACACCGATCTTACCAACAGTGAAAATCCGTGCTTCACCTTCTCCTTTTTGAGTGACTGAATGAGGATACAATTTCGCAGCTGTAGTTGCAGATTACTTCGTCGTGAAGCACGCTCAGCCTCTGCGGCATTGGAATAACATTCCAGTGTCTCTGTCCGAAGTAGGACGAAGTAATCTTTGGGATTCTGCGGATCGGTTGAAACAAGGTTAAGATGCATGAGTAACGCACTAGGACCAGAAGACAATTTTGGTTACCAAACGATTGCAGTCATAGCAAAACCTAATTCAAAACACTAGGCGTTTTACATTTGCCAATTATCAGTATCTCATGAAACCAAATTGTACCGTCAATCAGGTACCAATAAATCAAGAAATCTACAATTGTTGAGAGAAACGTTGTTCATTTTTACTTCCTTTGGTATACAAACAATATACAAAGATACATATTTCAAGAAAGTTGGGGAAGCAGCCAATCAAAGGGTTGCCATAAAATAAATAATAGAAAGGTCAGGCGGGGGTCGTGACGAAATTCGTATACTCCTCCAATGGAGTGATAATTTGGTGACGTTACCACCCAAATATTGCTCCCTTTTTCAACCTTGTTCAATCACTTCAGCAGACCAAACTATTCAAACCCAGAAAAGTATATGTGAGAAGTCAGGGTATAACATGCGAGTTTATTCAAAACACGTATGACGGATGTTGCCATGTTTTTCACTACCGAACCATCACATTCAGTGTTTGCCGAACCAGCGATCCATAAGCAAATGACTCAACTGACCGTTGGCCTTGACAGTATAAGGGTGTCTTTAAACAGACCTCAGTATGTGCTGATTGCTTCGGCTCACACTACCGCCCAGAATCGGGTTATCGTTGTGCCATACTAAGGTGCTCTGAAAGGGATTGCAAGTGGTCGGGTGTCCCTCAGCTGACTGTTTCTGTCAACTTCAAGATTGTCTAAGTGAAATTTTTAGTTGGTCTACTCCTCGATTTTTAATGATCAGTGTCGATAAATGTTGAAATCTTTCTTTTAACCTTTTAATGGCCTCTCATTATCAAACCCTTTTGAGTCACTAGCCTGATATTTCTAATAATGGTGATATCATCCCCAAAGCTGAGTCTGTCAAATATCTTGGAGTTACTTTGTCACATATTCTTTCTTGGTCCAATCATTTTGGAAACATTTACATCAGGGTTCGTAGATTATCTTTCTGCGATTTTAGGCTTAAAACGCTCGGCATTCCCCTAAATGTAATCAAGAAATTTGTGAAAGCCTGTATTCTTTCACAATCATTGTATTTCTCCTTGGTCTGAAGGAGAAAGGCTTCATTCCCTTTTCCAGATCTCTGAGACTTCTTTCCCGTTGTAGTGACATTTCAAAGACCGTTTTGGTTGATTTTATTGTGAGCAAGCATTTTTATTCATGTGATAGATTTATCAACCATATACTGTCAAATGAAAAACACTGCCTGCATGCTCATCTCAATAAATCGGTAGCTCATCGGAGTACGCGTTCTAACTTTAGGATTCTTTGTGCACACACCACCACACACAAAAACAGCATGGTCCCTCATTTTTCTCGTACCGGAGTCAACCGAACCAATTTCATTACTGACTTGGGAAGTTATCGGTCACATTTGGATTTTGTCACCTTTATTTGCTTCTGTCATTCAGTAAATGTATATTTATTTTTCCAATGCTTAACGTTGTTCTCAATATGACTTGTCGAACGTGCTGAAAATTCACCTTATTGGTGCATAAAGCTTGCCTAGACTTGTGCGGTTTTCATTTTAAATGGACATGTTGTTTCTGGTAAGTGAATGACAATCGAGTTTTACGCCACATTCTAAGTTAACTTAGTGGCTAGGCACTGATGTGCTTTGATAATTGTCTCATTGTTTGACCAGCGTAAATCGCATCACTGGATAACTTGAATAGGTCGATGATCATGGTACCGATCCGTGAGGTTCAAATATCCTTAAACACGCCCCCCCCCCCCGTTTTTTCCCCACACAAAATCAGGTTTCGTGTATAGCTCCTCTGATGCACTTCTCTCGCTGCTTGGGAGGCGGAGAAAACGTGCACGTAACATCCGGTTTATTCCCCTTGACAGGGTTCATCAACCTCTCGTACTTTAATATAATTCGTTCTTCGCATGGCACTGGAATAATGCGAGAGCGTATTTAGTCCAACTAAGCATGTGAAGCAATGTTGACACTGAACCCTGTTGATGATGGGTTATCATCACGACTCCAGCTTCAAGGCTGATACCCAGGGTGGTGATGATGAAGTTACTGAGATAGTCATAAAAGCGGTCGGGAGGTCTTGCTTTCGAATCCTAGATAGCCTTTGATTGACTGCAGCTCTCAATCTGCCAAGTAGATGCGTCTTCCGCAATGGTACTTAGCTATAGCAGAAACATACGCAGTCAGAAAATGATTGCTGCACTCCAGTTACCCTAACCCCGACTCATCCTATGTGACGAAAGAAACCATATCCACAATCGCATCGGGATGATGTAACATGGTGTGACACGTGGAGCGTGCATAAAGGTCATCAAAAATTTCCACAATTGATTGTGGTCACTCTCTTTCCTTTATGTACCCCTATAATAAAACATGATGTTTCACATTTAGCCTATTGAACTAATCATGTTCGTGTCTATCTCAAATGTAAACACACGGTCGTGACTGACCAAAAGCGAAGTTCCTAGAAACAAGCTTGTTTGGTTTAGTGTTCATTTTTTGGTATTAATATGGGAATCCTTCTCGAGCATCAGATGACGGATAATCAGATGCTATCAATCTGAAACCACGGACGAGCTCTGTGTAAAGACTGTGGTGAAGTTCTGGGATCACAGATAGGCAACGTATAGGAGCACAGAAAAGCATTTCTCCAGGTCCGGTGTTCAATATAGACACATTTGCTGACATGCTCATTTGCTGGACGAACGAAAGCATTTGGAATGTTGCATTGGAAAAACGGTTTTAAGAATCAACATAGTCAGTAATAATAAAAGTTCATAAGTACAAAACTGGAATTCGACTGATATTTGGTGTAATATGAGATGAACGACCCACAATGTAGTCGTTTTTGAACAGAAATCGGCGTTGGTTACTGCGAGGCAATATAATAACTGTAGTTTTTGGTTGCAGTGCGCAAATGTCAGTACTAATTAACCCACGTATATCGTATTACGTATAGCTTAATAGACGAGATCTCTACTCGTCTATTCACAATCGAGGTGATCACAATCCAACCCCAGTAAATCCGGCTACGTACACAAGAAGAAACAGCTCGTAGTGGGCTTCGTCGTCATCCTCACCTCCATCGTCACAGATGAAGATAGCACAGTAGTATACTTGACAAGGGCATTATTATGTGACCCTGTGGGTGATTATGCAAACACACAAAGCATATTCTCTGGGTATAGTTCGATAAGGTCTAAGTCAGGAAGTACACCACAAAAATATAATTTTAAGAGATCGTTGATGAGGTAGTGAAGAACTGCTTGTTTCGCAAACCATATTTCGTTACTAATATTTCAGTAGGTATCCTTTGTACATATAAGTATAATCGTATGAAAAGTGAGTATAATAATTAGGATTCTTGTAGCAGACCTAGTTATATGGTGACATTAATGGCTTTGAGCTATTTGACAGATGGATTTAAATTGTCACCGATGCCCAGTTGTGGGGAGTTGGGCCCGTTCAGAATAGTCGATATCACTTGATGAGAGAGGAAATAAACTGGCATTACGTTTTTCAATGGACCGACAGATAAGTGTGTTTGATTGGACGAGTGGTAAGTCGTCGGAATGGCTACCTGTGGGTACAGAGTTGGAGCCCCAATATCAGTCTCCTTATTAGCTGTATCGCTTCGGTCGAGCTTTGTATGCCTACCCATCCTCACTCAGAAATTTTACTATACATTTTTATAACAAATAAGGTTAAAACATTTCTTTATTTTATGTTTATATTGAGTAACATACATCCGTCAACAATCCTTGTTTTGATGATATCAATCGGCTTATTTTGTGATTTTATTATTACATATTGATATTGCCAGACTACACATCATGTTCCATCTTCACGCACAATCCACAGTCCACCTGGTCAACTATACTCAGTGATTGTATTGACGGGATGATTTTGGATGAAGATGAGGCGGGATGATCTGTTCAGATCAATGTCTCTAATCCCACTCCACTACTCACAAGTAACTGGGGCTCAAAAGTGAATATTGGGGATATTTGGAGATATTATGATTGGAATTTGGAAATGACTGAAAAACAAGAGTGACATTGCCTGCGATCTAAACAACTAGTGCATCGTCCGCGGTTGATCAATCAGGAACACTGGAGGACAGATCTCATTGAAATCCAGTATGGAACACAATGCAATAATTGGGTACCAAAACATGGTATCAATAAATAGGGGAGGAAATTGCTCGATGCATCGGTGGCAGTTTTTGTTTTGCACTATTCCTAGTTGAAAAATAACTGTTAAACAGCGGTCTGCGAAATGAACGCGAAAGCTGTGCGGATCGTTTTTAAATAAAATATAATTAAAAATGATTCATCCTAATGCGAATACGAGTAACTATATGTGTGCGTGCCACGGCGTGTTGAGCGTGAGTTCGAGAGAGAGAAAGAGTCATTCGATTCGACACGAACCAGATACACAGTGATTTATGATTTATGATTCTGGGCGGATGCATCGACCTCGCCTACAATTGTGAAAAACCGAACATGATGACTAGGCTGTTAATTATCGCCTCGGATCAAACATAGACTGCGAGTCCTTTGTGAATGTTTCGGCATTTACCACTAGCGAGCACGTGTGCCAGTTGCGACAAAATCACCTGATGCTGAATTGACTTTGAACAAACTCAGGGTACGGGGAGCGCAGCGGATATTGTTTTCTCAATCAAAGCATTGCTCTAGCCAGGCATTGAGGATTTTGCGTTTAAAATGTTAACAGATTAGAGGCGTCTGTTGACAAACAGATCACTTTGCAATCACACACACACACATGTTCTCGCATTATTCATGATAGCCTGGGACGGCAAAATGTTTACCCCAAGAATATTTGACCAGGAGGAGGCTGTGCTAAAGTTATTTGCAGAGTATGTTGCTACGCCCTTTCCCATCAAGCTTTAGCCAAAACCCGCAATGCTTTAGCCAAGACCCGTAGTCCTTTAGCCTCAACGCACAAAT